GATTGTGTTCCTATGATCAGAAAGGCAACACAAATGTGAGCAGCAAGGAGACAGGATCTAGGCTGAGACCCAGGGAGGATGTATGTTAGGAACTTTGCAGCTAAAGACTGATGCTTCTCTTTGGGTGCCCAGGAGACAGTTGATGGAAAAGGCAAAGGGGTAGTTAATATAGGCATGTCCGCCTTGAGGTGCAGGTAGGGTTCTTGTTCTGAATCTGGAATAAACTCAGTATTCTAGAGGGTAAAGAAGTGGTGTTTGTAGAGAAAAGATTTCAGTCATTCATCCATGATGTGGTAGCAGCTAAAGTAGCAGGAGAAGTGAAGCCATCAAGGTGGAGTAGAGAGAGGTCTGGCCACTTTCCTAGGAAATAGCTGGCATTTCCCACATAAGGACAAAACGAGGAAGGTGGCAATAAAAGGGACATTGGTAATGTGGGAGGAAACTTAGGTTGGCATTCTGAACAGAAAAAAAAGTCTCAAAGAGAAAGAGTAGCCTTTGGTGAAATGGAAAGCGTGGTTGGAAATTGAGGCAATTGCCCTGGAAAAAGAGATCATCATCAAAGAATCAGTGTTGGGGGTGTAGGGATTACAGTGTAGGAGAGTAATTCCTTTTGCTGTGAGGACTGGTGTCTGTATTCTACTCTCCAGTACAAACCAGTCCAATGCTGTGAAGCATGTTTCTCTCATATTCTCATACATGTTAAAGATTAATGATGCATAACGGCTTCTTCTGGCCCCTCCCTCCCACCCGCCCAGCCCTTGCCACTGAGGGCAGCTCTGTCCCTAGAGTCTTCTTGATTCACTTTAGGAAGGACGCTGACCTTGGAAAGCAATTACTGTCAGGAGTTCTCCTTTGGTGGTTTAGAGTTACACTTTCTTCCTTCACATAGTAAAGTACTGACCAGTGTCTGAAAAAACTGTCCCCTCTCCCTGCCAGGTGGCACAACTCTGGGGTTGTCAGTAATTTGGATTCGCAAATTAAATGGAAAATGCAGAAAGCTGCAGGCCAAAATAGACTTTGTCATTTGAACAGTGACGGTGTCTAGAAAGAAAAGTAGGAAGAATGAGATGCTTCCCTAAACTTTGGAAAGAGCAGTCTGAGCCGCGATAGCCACCTGCTTGACAGCATTCTGAAGCCTGGAGGTTACATAGTTGCATCTGCTTGTACCAGACCTTTATTCTCAGGTGTTCTGTTGTCTTTGCAAGTGCTTCATGCTTGTTAAATAGTTCTGAATAGTTCTTCCGTCTTAGAGCTCCTGCTTTAAAGACTGCGTTTGCTTTTAGAAAGGAAGCATTTTGAGTGCCGCCAGAAGCTGGGATCACCATTGTAGCAACCAAGTCCATCATTTCATAGGCACAGGTTTGTTTTTAGTGCCTGTGGCTGGAGGACTGTTATAACACAAACTTCAATTTCTACTCAGTTTTTATTTACTCCTTACTCTAAGATAAATTAATAAATGATATTATAGGAAAGTTAATGATTTCTATGAAAATAATATTTAAAAAGCACAATAGTTTATATTTCAAAATTTATAGTTTACTTGTAAACATTTTTCAGAATTTTTAAATGAATTTACAGATAAAAATATCAGTGCTTTTACCTGAAAACTTGGGTGTGTTAAGGTTAAGACATTTTATTCATTTAAAATATGTTTGTGCATATGAGTTAAATACTTTTTGTCTGTTTAGAAAGTACTTTAGGATTCTGTGGCTCCTTCAAACTTCCTCAAGTCTTTTTCTAAAATTAAACTTAAGTTCTGGAGTTTAGGTCATACAGACTCCCTCTTCACCATGAACATACCCAGGTTTATTTTATACCTGATTGAAAACATCACTCCCTAACTTGTCAGCAGCTCAGTTGAGCAGTCAAATTGTATTATTCAATATCTTGTCTGACATGAGGACACCAGTCCAAAGAAAGAGATATCACAAATTGGTGCCACACTTCAATAAATAGAGACATTTTATTTTGCACCACACTAATTCAATCCAGTTCAGTTAACTCTTTTTTCCCACATGTAAGGACACATTAAAAAAAGGCAGCCATGAATGACTGAATTGGTCATGTGTTTGACACGTCAGTGTGTGTATACAAAGCAGACCACAATGGAGGGTTCAGCCTTTGGATTTCAGACAATACCAGCGTGGGAGCCTCACTCAGCACATGGTGCAGAGTGGGGATCTCAGCTCACAGGCAAGCTCGTACCCATGCACATGCTCAGGTGCAGAGGGCAGGGCCTGGGCTGTTGCCTGGAATACCTTCTCCTCACCGCCCTTATTGTGTCAACTCCAAGAATCCTCAGCCCTTTCTTGGGTTCCTCAGTTTCATTTTCGCTCTCTGAGAAAAAACTACTCAATACTTACTTTATATTGTTTTGTGATTTTGATAAAAATCTGACCTAAATGTGTTCCCCGAAAATCCTTTTGATCGTAAAATGCCCATGCTTGTTATTTCTCAGGTCAATAATTCCTCCTGAAGACATTGAACAGATACAGTCATGGTATTTTATTCTTGGGGTAGAACAGAGTAGCTCAGAACCTCAAATGTGGTACGTTGATATCTTATTGAGAGGATACTAATATTTTTGGAAAACGTGCTCGCTGCTTCATAGAGAAGGTCTGAGGTCCTTCCGAAGCCTCTCACCCCTGAAGTTTGTGCTTCAGAGTCCTGTAGTGATGCTACTGCCTAGCACATATGTCCTGAGCCCTCTTGTAGGCAGCCAAGCCTCTCTTGTCTTTCATGGAGTCTCAAATCCTGCTTTTCCCATGAAACACGCCTTCTTCAGTGAGTACTGTGAGAGAACATGACTCACACTGGCTCTGGGATACCCAACCCCGTCATCCTGTGAATGAAGTGAGGCTGGCCATTTAATCCAGAATGCCTTGCTGGGGCCTCAGCAGTACAGTCAGCACTCACAGAGATCAGTCAACAGGAAACAGGCGTAGGGCTGGTGTCCCCATTAGGACAAGTCTTGGGGCCAAATTCTACCAGTCAGTGGTGGAAGGAGTCATCCTAGTTTCCTTACTTTTTAAAGTGAAGTTGTGGAAGGTAGAAAATGATACCCTATGACCCTCTTAGTTGGTGTGAAAGTAGCAGTTAATTTTGATAAAGAGTTTAAGAGTTCATATAAAGTACCTCAGATGTTGATAAAATCATACACAGAGCATGTTCTTCTGTTTTTTTTTCAACGCTAGTCCATTCGTGTTATCTAGCCATAGCAGCAGTCTTGTTTGAGAGACATTTTTGTCATCATGGTACAGGTGAAGGAGCCAAGATATAGTCAATGTAACTTGTTCAAGGTCACAAAGCAGCAGACTCAGGGACAGAGACACAAATCCAGGGCCCTTGACCCCTTCTCTTCTCATAAGCACTCTGGTGTTTTGGCACCCCTGCATGTAAACCATGCTTACCCATGGGACTGTCCACCAGAGGATTTGGGTGTAGTGCAGTGTGCTGTTTATCGGGAAGCATGCATGAGGTCATGGAGCAAGGAGATACTGGCCTCACTGGCCCCTTCATTTCACTAGCTTAGACTGAGAACTGGAGAAAACAGAAACCACCTATCAGCAGTTGCTACCACAGAACATAACTGTAGGTATAGGGACTCCAATCATGGCCTTTGGGACTTTGTTCTTATCCTTTCATTTCTTGTGAGGGTTTTGACGCATGGATGATTTGGTGACACCAGTGTAGGACCTTGCAGAACACCATGCAGATGGTGACGTACGGGGATGGGGAAATGTGATGACCACATCATCTCTCAGTGGTGCACTGCAGGTCTCAGCACATGTCTTATGGTTGTCTAACTAGTCACCCAGCCACACGGCAATGCTGAAGTGCTTCCACAAGCTCTCTCACTGGGAGAGGCCCACACCCAGGTTTTATAATCAGGCTGTGCACACCTGAGTCATAACAAATGTACCCTGGTTACATAGCGAATTCTCTCGCTGGTCCTACAAGCATCATGCCTTTTAGGCTTTACAGTGTGGGACATGATATGTTCTTGTAATTAGGGATGTGTTCCAGGCAAGACTAGCAGTATCCACACTTTCTGTCACACACTCAAGATTTTAAAAGTGAATTCCCTAAGTCTTCAGTGGAGACTATTTTTTTTAATGTAGCATGCAGATAATGGAAAAATATGTCTTATAGTTAAGTCTTCTTTTTAATGTGTGTATGTGTAATAAAAGGACTTCCAGGACATTAATATGCTTTATAGCTGTTCTGGGGATAAGGGTTTAAATGCTGGATACAATCTGAAGTGAAAGCACACCGATGAAATAGTTACTCATCAGATGTCTTTGAAGTTGAGCTCTTCTGGGTGGTGTAGTCTCCTTCCTAATGGGCATGTTTCAAAGGAAAAAGTGGCTGTGGCATTCTGCTGTGATGTCTCCACATGAACAAGATCTGTTTTGTTTTGGTCTGTTTCTGAATAAATTTTGGAAGCTAGCTTCTTGGGAATCACATTAATGACAGAAATAGTTTCTGCCACTGTGGACTCATTCTCATGGACAAGGTAAGATTTGAAAGTTAATTTTTCCAACACAGTTAACATTTTAAATAAAGGGTCCCTGAGCTCTTTTATTTTATAACCTTTCCATACCTAAATTTACTCAGCTTTCCACAGTAATGTATCAAAAGGGTTGAGCTATGTCTATATGAGATGAGGAATATATTATAAGAACTCCTTTTATGAAGTATCTTTCTGGCAAATCCACTATGCTTAAAGATATTTAGAAACTATGTATTTGAGATTGATGGTTCTTTGATTCTGGTAACTGAAGGACTTTCTTTCAGGGTTTAAACCTGCAAATGCTTTAAGGGTGTTGAGTAAAGACTGTTTTGCTTTCTACATTTTGAATTGAATTTCACTTGCTTTAGACAGACTTTAGGACTTTAGACAGACATGTTGCAGTGTGGTTTTAAAAGTTTCTGTTTTTCTGTTTCTTACCATATAGACTGTGTCATAATTAACATTTATTTTATGCTTTATTACTTAGTTTTCATATGACTCCAACAAGCAGTGAAGACCTCAGGAAAATCCCGGTAAGTTGACAAGAGGTTACAAGATGACCAGAGAGCAAATCTAGCTTCTCTATAGCACACATCCCCAAACCCTGCTGTCTCCTCAACCGCCTCGTGGCAGAAGCATTGTTGATCAAGTGGTGGTTTGGGGATAAAGACAGTGAAACTGAGACTTTGCTTTTATTATACAAGTGACTGTAGCTTCTAAATGTGTTCAGAGACAGTTCAAGCCGATGCGTTACAATCGACATTTGTAACCTGTGACCTTAATGAAAAAGCTGTGTATCAGAGTCCGCATTATAGTTGTGAAAGTAGACTGACGTTTGTTGTTTGTATGGGGATCCAGTATAAAGCAAAGCTGCTTGGTAACAATACAGTGGGAAAGCAGCATGGTAAGAGACTGGAGTTTACCAGGCAAGCCTTTGGACAGATACCTCAGGATGCTTACCTTCCAGATCAGACCCAAACCAGAGCTATCCCAGAACTGGTGGCAGTTAGTTAAATGGATGTGCGTAGTTTACTTTGTTTTATTGTTATCTGAAGTTGAGGATTGTGTAGAAGAGTTTAGTTACCTCTGAGTCTTCTAAGATGTTGACTTGGAGAAAAATCACTTTATAAAAATACAGGCAGACGTTCTTTGGATAAAACTACATTCTTACCAAGTAACAGAAAGACATTGGTGGCTGCTGTTTCAACCATCTGCCCTTAATGTGTGTAATTGCATATCACAATTTCTAGTATATGGTTTCCCTAAAATAAGTCAAGGCAGGGTTAAAGTTTATTTTAAGTGAAGATGGTAGAAGACACTATGGACTTTAGATAATGCTTGTGCTGTTTTATGTAAATGATTTTTAAGTTTTGATGTTTCATAAATACTCAGGTCTTTTATAATATGGCAGTCTTGAAGCAATGTCAGATTATATGAAGTCAGCCTTTGATCAGATAGTGAAATGAATTCTACTGGGCTGTTACTTAATCTCAAACAAAATGCAACATCAAAAATCGATTTAATATGTAGCTATTGTTTATTAGGTAACCTTAATTACAATTTCTGTGTGCTTGTAGATGTACTTTTCTAAATCTTGTAATTTATTGCTGTTAAAACATCCTCAGAAATCTTTAAAGAAATAAAATGTGAAAATTGTTTTAGTTCAAGGATTTAAAGGTGATAAAAGAATCCTTGATGTGTGATTATTTTTTTCTGGAATCTAACCATTCTAAGTGACAGTTAAAGGATTACTAGGTGTTGCTAATGTACTGCAAGATACAATTAAGAGGAGAAAGCGCCCTTACAGACTAGTTTTCAGGAGAAGTATTTGAACAATTTTTATGTTGAAGATTATAAGATGTTTGAAGTAATTTACATGAAGTTCTCCGGTAATAGCCATCCACCAAGTTATTTTCTCTCCTTCTGGACGGAGTATTGTGTAATTAGGTTTGTATGTCGGCTATGCTGGTGCCAACACCTGTCTGTGGAGGCTCGGTGTTTAGGCAGGAGCAGTAGCCAGTTGAAAGGGCAGTGTGAGCTCTTTAAGGCCTAATTAAGAACTGAAAGGGAGATGAAGAGAGGAGGACAAAAGATGTGAAAGTAGCTGAGATGATGTTCCCAGAGCAGAGTTCCTCATTATACAATAATGAGATGATCCGCGAGCGCCAGGCCTCATCTCCTCCCTCTCTCTCCTCCAGTCGCCGTGGATGTCAGTTAGTACCCCACCAATATTTGGTTACCAGGACAACCTTTCTTTAAATCTTCAGTTATTTTGAGTCATGATAATTTGCTTTTGTCTAGATTTAAATATTGTAAAATTTACATATATATTTCTTAGTTTAGAAGACTAGATTGTGTGTAAGGTAAAAATAGCTAATAATCCTGAGAATCTTCCACTCGAGTCTTATTATTTAAAATTCTGATTAAAAACTTCATGGAGGACTGTTCCTCTCTTACCCTGTCCTCTGTCTTTGTGTCTGTATAAGGGACTTTACTTTTAGCAGACATGAAGAAGAGAAAGGATTGGTTGTGAAAGAAAAGATACAAGAAAAAATTTATGTTAAATTTCAACATAGGAAAATGTCTTAAAAATGTGTGCTGTTTATGAAGTATTCAGCACAATACTGAGCTCTTGGCTGTCCTGATGCAGGCTGCATTTGCCCTCTCCCAGTTTTAAGGTTGGGATTTTCAGTTTTTCCTAGAGATTAGTAAACATACTTTTGAAAAACAACTTTTTGTATTTGTTTGAGAGTATTCCTCTTTAAGCAGACTATTTTTATAACAAGAAAACATTTTTATATTGGATAATAATATAGCATTGTTTATATTAGATAATAATCTTTATTATTTCCTTTGAAGTTATAAATGCATTTGTTTTGTGTGTGTGTGTGTGGTAATATGTCAGTTTAAGACTTGTATGCCTAATATTAGAAAATTTGCATGGTTCTCAAACACTGAGTAAAATCTGGAGCCAAGACTGAGCTCTATTGATTATTTCTATTCTTTCCCAGAGTAGTTTATGGTACATATATCTCTAAGATGTTTTCCTGTTCAGAAACCTAATGGTGAATTTTGGGTAAAAATATCCACCTGAAGAGAAGACAGGAGAACTTTACTAAGAACAGAAATTCATTTCTAGGAAGTAGGCTGGGATGAAGAAGATAAAGAATATGTGTGTGTGTGTGTGTGTTGTTCATTCTGACTGTAAAATATTGAATAGTATCCTGAAATGCTAGGTAATCTTGTGAGACTAAGATGATTCCTGTCATGGCATTTAAACCACTTTCGTTATAATGGAAAATTTTGTCATGTCATTTATCTTCCTTAAGATAAATGTTACAATATTAACTCCATTAACCAGTATTATTGGTGCAGTGTTAAATATAGCCATGTGAATGATTTTTAAAAGTATGCTATCACTTGTAATTGAAAAATCATTATACATATATATATATAATTCAATCAAAATTAGAGAACCTTAACAGATGCCATTATGTTAAATTCATTAAACGGCAACAATGACATAAAGCTGGTAATCTATAAGTAGCATAGCCCCTTTAGGTTGAATTTCATGACCACGGTTCTCCAATTTTCCAGTAAATATTTTGTTAGAAAAATAAAATCACAGTAGTTGGACTTTATTATTTTAAAATGCAGTTCAGAAAAAAAACATTCGTCAATAGATTACAGAATTCTGGAGCCTAAAGGGGTTGGAGCTGCCTCATCAGATAAGGGATGTGAGACCCAGCCTGATTCCTGCCTCATTTTTATACATTATTACTTGTGTTCAAGTACAAAGGTTAGCTTATTTCTGAGAAGTCAAAAAAGGTCACTATAGTTTATCATCTTTACTATAAACTGTAGTAAATTATGAGAATATAATTAATAAATTTATAATATACCTTTGAACAACCAGTGACCAGCACATTATGTTATAGGCTTAACTGACCCAAGAGGGAAGGTGACAGCCAGCATTTAGCCCCACAGTATCCTTATAGGACTTAAGAGCAGCATTTGAAATGTTGAGGCACAAGTAATTTAATTCAGAAAGTTTCAACAAATAAAATGAGTTGTTTAAAGTATATCTTTCAGAATTCAAACTCATTTTTCTTAAATATTTATTAACTTATGATTAAAGTAAGTTTGTAATAAACTTCAGTATCTAGTAAAGGATATGATTTTCCTGTTTGAGGTCTTGGTAAGAATTTTTAAGTTAACATTTACTAAATGTTAAAAAAACTTTGTATATTTTATCATGGTATTATTGAGACTGTTAAGGTTTTCATAACATCCAAATTCATGCTTTAAGTATTTCAACAGCTCTGTAAGCAGCCTCTGCCCAAAGATGGTCTTACCCATGGTTGCCGTGTTAGTTTCCTAGAACTTTGCCCCCAAGATATTTCTGCTTACAGTTGATCATAGCAGAAGAGCTAAGAAGTGATTCATTTCTGCTTAGAAGCCTTCCATGGTTTCTTGTTTCCCTTAGGAAAATGCTACAGACCATCAGGGATGACATCACCCATGCTTGATGGGACAGCGGGTGTCGCCAGAGCCTCTCTCTATCTCACCCGTTTTCTGGTTGTGTCTCTCTAGCCTGTGGCGGGCCACTGGACCTTGATCCCTGTTTACTCATTGTCCATGCTCATCATGCTGTCCACTTCTGCATGGAGAGTGTGAAGCCTGTTGCAAGCTGTCACCGCCTGCCCTGAGGCCTGGGGTATCTGAGAATCTTCCCAGTGTGTATATCCAGGAAGAAGGGGCACATTCGAGTGACTGGGATGCCACTCTAGCTTCTGCCTAGGGTTTCCGCAGGGAGAGGATGTGGTGAAGACCTGGCCTTGGTGTTAATGGAAAAGTCCCAGACACATGACAGTGAAAAAGGGAGGATTCTGAAGATGGGAGAGACACATAATTTCTGTGGGAACAGAAGTCTTTCTGTATTTTGCAGGCCTCACCCATCCTCCGCTGGACAGACTCTGGGTCCTGCCTCAGGAACAAGAAGACTGGTTTCCTTAGTATTTTAGTTATTTTCTTAAGGCAAAATGGAAGTGTTTTGACTAGCAGTGATGTAGACCATCCTACATTTAGGGGCAGAACTGTGTTTTCAAGGCATCAAATCTACTGTTTGTATCTCGACATTAAATGGTGGAGATCTAAATCCCAGGGCATTGAGATTGAGGGAGTGTTGCAGGGCCCATCTTCACCCTCACAAATTGTTTTCTTTAGATGTTGGTATCACCACACCGTTAGAATAAAAAGGTTAAAGCGAGATCCTCTTATGGTTATGTTTATGCTCTTGCTTGATTTTTTGGCCCTTAGAATATCATTGGCTAAGTAAATGAGAGAGATGAGAGGGCATGGAGCTGTCTTGACTGTATTAATGTGACTGTAGCTGAGCTCTGAGCTTCCTGATAAAGGGGTAAAAAATGGAAATAATGTCAAACAAGTGAATGTTGTTTTTGGGAACTGGGAGCATCTATTACTCAGGTAAAGAAAGCTCACCTTGCTGGTCAACTAAGACAGAAGTTATACC